TGTCCAGATGGAAACGGGTGACAAATGGTGTCCCTCAGGGGTATGTGCTGGGACCAGTGGTGTTTAACATCTTCGTCAATAATATAGACAGTGGAATTGAGTGCTCCCTCATCAAGTTTGAAGATGACACCAAGCTGAGTGGTGTGGTTGACATGCCAGAGGGACCTGGATAAGCTGGAGAAGTGGGCTCATTTGAACCTCATGTGGTTCAACGAGGCCAAGTGTAGGATCCTGCACCTGGGTTGGGGCAATCCTCTTTATCAGTACAGGCTGGGGGATGATGTGATAGAGATCAGCTGTGTGGAAAAGGATTTGAAGGTACTGATGGAAGAAAAGCTGGACATGAGCCAACAATGTGCACTCACAGCCCAGAAGGGAGACCTTACAGTAGCCTTCTGGTCTTTTAAGGGGGCCTATAAGAAAGATGGGGGCAATCATTTAGCAGGGCTTGTTGCAAGAGGACAGGGGATAATAGTTTTAAACTAGGAGAGGGTAGATTTAGGCTAGATATAAAGAAGAAATTTTTTACAATTAAGGAGTTGAAACACTGGAACAGGTTGCCCAGACAAGTAGAAGAAGCCTTGGAGGTATTGAAGGTCAGGCTGGATGGGGCTCTAAGCAACCTGATCTAGTTAAAGATGTCCCTGCTCAATGCAGGGAGTTTGGACTAGATGACCTTTAAAGGTCCCTTCCATCCCCAAACATTTCAAGATTATCTCAGCATTTCCTCGCATATTCCTTTTTATCTTCTCTCTGCATCTGCTTGTCTTTTTTCCCCCTCATGATTAGGCTGGGGGGCTTTTGAGCTCCCCTTGCCCTCTCTGTTGGCCCAGTGTGTGTCGCTCAGAAGCCCTGCTGTCCCTCTGCTGCTCATTTCTTTATGCTGCAGAGTACACATACAAAAATGACAGGATATCCTTTCTCATACAGAGCACAGCAAGACTGGTAGGTCAGTAGCTGCAGATTATCACTATGGCCAAACTTTTGGGGAGTCTAATGATGGTCTGTTCATGTTGCATAGTAAGAATGCCTAGAGTTGTATTATTTCTAAGTAGAAAAAGCTCTCTTCGTTAAGAAATGTATAAACCTTCAGGGGATAGGTTGATCAACTCATGGGAAAAAGTGTACTTTTTGGGAAGGGTGTCTGTCAGGTTCCTACTGCACAATGTTTTGCGTTGTTGTCTGAAAGAAAAATTAGTGAGAATTTCCACTGAAATACATTGCAGGAGGGCCCTGTTCTGAGTCGTGCTTTTTGCTCTTTTGAAATTCAAAATGGGTTTTGCTCAGAGTCAAGCCTGCTCATGATACTCGGGAGTTATGGGACAGGACCTTAATGCCTGACAATTAGAAATCAAGTAATTTCATTATCCTGCGAAGCAAATTTTCTTTTTAAAATGTCAAAAATATATATTAAATGAAATTGCTACTTACAGGTAGTGATACTTTAAGCATCAGGTACCAGTTACTTCTAGAAAAGTGTTACTGGGTTAGGTGGATCTCATCAGTCACGGCAGTTTGTGTATTCCTGTCAAAAAACTGTTGTTGTTCAAGCAGAATTATTTTTAATTATTGGAAGAATATTTAAAAAAATATATTTAGAGGTTGAGATGAGGAAGCTAGTTCTTGACTTGCTTTGAAGGCAGTCTGCTGTCTTGCCTAACAAGCTTTTAACAGTGGAATGGTTAAATTGGGAAACAGACAAAGAACAAAGGGAAGAAGACGTAACATCTTTAGTCATAGATCAGATGGTTCCTAGTGCACCAGGACTGAAAAGTCCCAGTAACACAGCTCTTAAATCCTATTAATTAAAGTGCTGTTAGTTTAAAAGTGTCTTTCATGAACTCTTTTATTTTATTCCAGTCTGTAATTCTGCACACAGCTGTAACGTTTTTCAGTCTGATGTCTTCTCTGCTATTTCATGTTTCTTACTGAAGTACAATGTTCAAATACTGTGTGTTGTAAAGCAATAAATTTTAAAAGATCAATGTAACTGATGAGGTCTTGGTGCCTTACAGTTTCATCTGATTAAAATATGTTGGAAGATTACCTGTCCTCTATTAGATGCGTAGTAACATAATGCTGCCTAGGAGACATAAAGCATGTGCATGCTCTCTCTCTCTGCTCTCATATTTGTTAGGATTAGTACTAAATTCCCCCGGTTGTATTTAATAATGCTTGTGATTCTTTTGGGCTTTGTGACTGGAAATTCATCATAACTGGTGCCTAATCTGCAGCTTTGATTTAGGTTCTTACTGTAATCACATTTTAAACTTGCGCTGGCCCTGTTTGAAAGGTCCTTAAAAAGTTGTTTTTTCACTACAGATCTGGATTTTAAAGTTGAAAATAAATTGTTGAAAGCTGCTGAAATGGCACTCTAATTAGTTCTTCTTTTCCTCAGCCTTACCTGCCCACAAGGGAGAGGACACGACCCAATTCAGCCACGCTACTGGCTGAAAGCCTGAAACAGATCCCAAGCTGAGCCTTGAGCTTCCACTTTTCTGTTACTTGGGGATTGCCTCTATCCTTTTTGTTTCTATTCTGGTTCAGGTAGAATTTGAAAGGGAAAGTGTCCCTAGGAGAAGTGATACGTATATTGCCTAAACTGGGGTAAGGGAGGCCAAGTCACTGGATTTGTAGATCTGTGCTGCCGCTGGCAACTCAGTTCCCACACCTGGGAATGTTTGCTCTGCAAATGTAAATGAAATGCCTCTTTCTCCAGGCACTTTAAATTTTTTTCACCAAGACATCTATCTGTGTACAACAGTGACTAATTTTCTTGATTAAACCTTTTGAGTGTTGCAGGGTGCTCTGTTGCTCCGATGAGTGAAAGTGAACTCATGAATACAACATTGAGGAAAATCTTGATAGGTTTATCACAGTTAATTATTAAACAAACCTTATGTTAAAGACCTTCCTGCTTTGATTTCTATTGTTAAAGGAGCATATCTCCTCTCTACAGAGATCTTAATGAGCTCACTAAAGAAACAGCCCAGAAGCCCAGAATATTTGAATCCTACTTTATTTGTCCAAAACATGTATTTTGCTTACAACTCATAAAAATGCTAAGGACAAGCGTTCTCTAGATCCCCATAGCGCCCTGGAACCTGATACCTGATGAGTATGTTAAGTAGATCCATGCTGGCTGTGAAGGCCTTTCCAAGTGGCCCATTCTGCACCGAGAAAGTATAGAATGGAGATCTGTGATGCGAAGCAGCTTTCTCGTACCAAGGTAGCCTTGGCCCTGCAAGCGGTAACTGCCATTTGTCTGCCACTGCCCTTTCTTCCCTCTTTGGTTTCTTGTGAAGCAGTGGCTGTTGACTGGAGTATTGGCTCTGAAAATCAAGAATAAGGAAACGTGTCACAGATTATCTATCTATCTATCTATCTATCTATCTATCTATCTATCTATCTCCAGTCTCTTAATATCTTTATAAACTGGCCATTCAGCTCTGAAGTCAAGACTGTAAGCTGGCTGCCTCAGTGGAACCTCTGTGTGGACGCCTCTGAGCTGCTCAGCCTTTCCAGCAGCGTGAACACAAAGAAGCTAGCAGTCTGGTTTCTCTCTCCAACAGGGTCTTCTGTTTCCTGAGCCCACATTTTCAAGTGCCGTTCATTTTGCTGCTGCTATTATTATTTTTTTTTTCACCTTGAAAGAAAAGGGGAAATATGTTTTCCTGATTTCACCAGGGTGTTAGAAGGAGACTTTTATCAGTGCTAGCGAGCCATGTTGTAAGAGTATAGTGGGATGGCAGGAACCACACCTGCCTCTACTTGTTTCTGTGTTCTGTTAGCTTAAGGAGCTGCATGGACATTTTAATTTGTAAATAAAGTTTTTGAAAGCCCTTCAAATGTCTGTCTCATTTCCTCAGAGTTTCCACTGACCTTTTAATGTGGTAGGAAGCTCATCAATCCTATGCCACAGGTATTAGCAGATTGTGTACAATTTAGGTCTCGAGCAGGCTAGAACTTAGATACTGGATGTGGTTTAGTCTCATCTACTAAATTTACACTGTGCTAAAAAATCCTGCAATTTAAAGATTAGTTAATAGAAGGATTTAATGAGCAGGAGTCAAATCCTGCTGTCGTCGTTCCTTACACGGTATTCTCATATGATGAATTCTACTCTGAATAAATATCCAGAACTGTGTGATTTGTCACAAGTTGTACTAGAAGACAAGCGTTTATGCTCTTTAAAAACAGCGATTCTGTGGAATTCACACAGCACACTGTGCTTGGCTGACAAAATGTTTCAAATGGCCTGATCTTGTAAGTAAAGGCAAATCTAAAACGCACATTCAGTGAAAAATCAGTGGTTCTTGTTCTCAACAGTTTAGTGTTTTGTTTTACAACGTCATTCAGTCTTTAAGGATGGATTCTGGAGGGAATAAAGCAAGAAGGACAATTAGCAATAACATATTTGTGAGTTGCAAACTTAGAAGCAGTAGATTGTGTTGTACTAATGTTGTGGGTTTTTTCCCATAGAAGATATGAACTTTTGTGTTTGTTTATTTGGGTTATTGATTATGATCCTGCATTGTTTCTAGCTTAAAGTAGGACCCTCACTCTGGTGAACACTGTATAAAAAGAGCAAAATAGACAGCCTGTACCCTGAATTGGTTACTGTTTAAGCACCAGTATTGCCATTAGAACTTAATTAAAAACATAAATCTTGACTTTGAAACAACTTGCTTGAAGCAATTGCATAAGCAATGTTATGCAGTTTATCTGAGAAAAGCAAAGATTTCACTAATTACCTTTTTTTTTTTTTTGGTAGATACTCTTTTCAGCAGCTGCATGGAGTATAGTTGTATGAAATCACCAGCACATCATTTTAGGTAGAACATAGAGTGTGCGAACTTAGCTGTGCTCTCTGCTTCCTCTCACAGCATTACACAAACATTTTTCTTGGTTTGAAAATAAGTGGTATATTGGCATAAATACCTTCCAGTTGTAAATTCTGCTTTTTGAAATTGAATTCTCTCTTTTGTGTGTTTCTTCAGGGCTAGCTGGAAAGATTATAAAAGCCATCATCAATGAAGGATTTCAGATCTCAGCTTTGCAGATGGTAAGTTTGCTTTTATGTATGTTTTCCTGACGAACAGAACTTGGAGAAGTGCCGTGTGTGCCTCACAACAATGCGCAGGTGTTTTCCTGCAGTATAAAACCCCTGTGCAGACTGCGTAGCAACGTTTTGGGATCAACATAGTCCTTGTGATATTTGTGTTTTATTATTTGATCAGCTTATCTGTTTCTCATTGCTGGGTGACCTTGAGCCAAGACACTTTACCTCTCTGTATCTTGGTTTCCCTCTAGTTAGAAGGGAGATAACGATATCTGTCTCTTCGGGAGAAACTTCAGATATCTTTACAAAGTAATAGCTAAGAGGAGAGAAATCAGTGTTAATATCCTTCCTTGTTTTTTAATATTCAGTATTAATTTAGGGGGAGGTTTTTAAAGATAGTTAAAAGATTTTGACACTCTGATCATCCTCAGCAGTTAAAGGAAACTTGGCACAGAAATCGTTCCCAAGAGTAGTCCTGTAAGTCCTGCCTTTTGGTTTTTGTGACAGTCTCAAGATCTGAAATTCCCCTAGGATGCAAATCCTCACCACAAATGAAGAATAGCCCTGTTCCTCTACTATGCAACGAACAGATCTTCTTGCATATCATAGTGGCATCAGCCAACACTATTTGTATTTAAAGTGGAAGAAGATACTGTGTGCTATGTTGCCTGGAGCATCGATGGCTAAGTTGTTGACAAACGTCATTCCTTTACCTAGTGAAAGTTAAGGAATATTCTGAATGTTTGCCAGTTAAGAAAGGGTACCTGTCTTTTTTGTTGTTGTTGTTTGAGGCAGACTGGCTAACACTTTTGTTTTCTCAGTTCAACATGGAGCGTGCAAATGTGGAAGAATTTTATGAGATTTACAAAGGTGTCGTTGCTGAATATGTGGTAAGCTTAAGTTTGAAAAGAATGTGTTTAAAATATGATTAAACAAGGAAGCAATCACATCTTTTGGGGGATTGTGATAGGATTTCTGTTAGGAACTGGGTATTGACCACTTGTAGCTTGTTCTTAAATAAACTAATTCATCTTGAAAATGTTATAAGAAAGGAGCGCCTTTATGAGAATCGTTCTGCCAAGGAATTTGTAAATTACAACAGAATAAAAAAACCCAAGCCCTTGCATAAGTTATTTTATTGCAGTAGAACTATGTGAATGTGTCACATGTTTGTTTGGTTTGATGTTGCAATAGTGGCTTGGACCAGAATATATATTTATTATTTTGTTTACAATAGGGCTGCTGTATTTGAACGCTTTCCTAATGACATTTTGAGCTATTCTTAAGTTGATTGATCTGGCTTTTGTGGATTTTCAGAAAATTTAACAAGTTTAAAATATACTGTAAACCCAGTGAGCATCTAAGACTCTAAATATTATTATGCCTTGTTTTACTGTCACATGAAATTTCCTGACTGCAGAAGGAGCAATGGGAATACAAAAAGATGAGTTTGCATTTCTGTATCACTTTGTCAGAGGATTTTGTTTTGTTTTATAAATTGTAATGAGTTTAGTTTCACTGCCATGCTATGTATTATGCAAATTATCCTTAACTTTTAAAAGGTTAAATTATTTTCTTCACAGTTACTAATACTACTCCAGACAGTTACTCATATTACTCTACCAATGACATTTTTAGTTACTTTTTTTATCGCCTTTACTATTGTTTAGTCTACTTAAACAGAGTTTGTAGATTTGTCTTTAAGTAGGTTAGGAGTACTGTTAGTTCACTCTCAGACTGGAGAACACACTTAAAATCTCATGTGATAACACTATTTTTGACAAGGACTGAAGAAGATTGGACAGGCAGACTTACATGTACTTAGCAGAATTAAAATATGGTAAAATCTGACAAGTATTTCAGGGCCTAAAGAATCTCATGGTACTGCGATAGTCTTTGCTTTGAACGAAATTGGAAATTCTGTACCATCTTCTGTATGATCTCTGGCCCCCTAATAAGCTGCAAATTTTAGTTAAGTAATGCAATTGGAGAGGAACTCAGAAGGCAAAGTGACATTTGAACAGGAAAAGTCAATAAAGAAGATATGTTTTAGATAGGATTTGAAGAAAAGTGAAAATCTAGGGCTCTGTCCTGCAAGCCATATGTGCTGGATGCATTCAGTTGAAATTAAATTAAATTAATATCTCTCCGCAGTCAGGATCTTTGTGAAACAGAAATATGTGGGAAAGCTAATCATGATGGTAAAGTTGCAGAAGAAAGAATATGACCTCTTATATCTGTGACTCAGAACCTTCTGCTTTGATTCAAACTTTATTTACCATTCCAAAATAACTCTTGATATCCAGAAATCCTTTTCAAAAACTGTATTCCATTTCTTCTGGTTACCTCTTAGCAGTGAGATAAAGGCTTGACATTGTACATAAAGCACTTCACAGAATCACAGAATGTCAGG